GCACCAAATGAGAGTGGTCCTAGTTGGAATTTTCAGTTTTATCCCCCCCATAACTGTGTCGGGAAACAGTGATCCTTCTGCTCCAATTTCATTACTGCTGCATCCCTTTCTCCTCTAGAAAAAGAAACAGTTACTAATTTTGGGACTGTCACTGATTTAGGAACAACTTTAATCCCATTAAATTTCTGCTCACAGACGTTCTACAGTATTAAATGTTGCCACTAGAGAAATGCAGAAGATGAAGGATTTTAAAGGTCATCTGGTTCAGCCCCAAGGCTTTGGAGCAAACTCTCCTGCAAATGTCTTTGTGTCCTATGATGTCACTGCCTTGCTTTCAATACCCTCCAATACCAGTCCCAAATATCAGTCCACATGGCAGCAGGAAGTCCTGGATTTGCAGGACAGCTTTGGTTTTAAAGAGACTATTGCAATGTCCCTGTAGGTTAGGGTGACTGTCTCAGCGTCCCTGATGCAGTTCTGGTTTATACTTAATGTTATGGCACCTTACTATCAGCAGCTTCTTTCACCCTCAAAATGGTCTTGCTTTAGACGATTTATTATATGGCCATGCTTCCTAAGCACACAGGCATTTATAACATGCACTCCAAGTTTCAGTTTGGAAGACATGGACACACACTGCCCCCATCGGTCCTTTTTTCCATTCTTACCTAGCACATGCCCTCTGGTGTGCTCATGCATGTCTGACGATCGCCTCCTCCCTTGTTCAACACTTGTTCTGGTCTCTGAGTTTGCTAATGTTCCTCTCCCTTCCTGAATGTTCTCCTGCCTCACTCCACTTATGTAAATCTTACCCATCTTTCAAACTGTGCTCAAGCCCCACTCCCATGAAGCCGCCTCTGTCTACCTCAACCCACACTGATTTCTCCCTTCTCTTAACTTCTACCCATGACATTTGCTTTGCTAAAATAAGGTGAGGAGGGAAAGGCACATCTTTGGTAATGGACTCACTCCTCCTCCGAATGCTCTGCCTGCACATTGTTTAGAAGCCTGCAGGTAGTACCTGGTAAAGGTAATTTGGTCCTTATCTCAACAGGTTGGCTATCTTCAAAGGTGCTTCATTAAAAGAAAGGAGAATATAATGCATAATCCATTTGCACATGCTTTCTTCTTATAAAATGGTTGTTCAACTAAGAAAGCTGCAAATAGAACATTTAAACTGGAGGCTCTCTTGGAGATTAACTTGCCTAACCTCTTGCCCAAAGCAGATGTGCATCCCCACAACACACAGCATCCTTGAAAGATGGCCATCCAACTTGTTGGTAAACACATCGTTTGAGCCTCTCTCTCCAGAAACCTTGATCTTTTGCTGGACAGTTCTGGTTGTTAAAGTCCTTCCTTATAATAGAGTATTTCTCAAAGTTAAGTCTGTGGACCATCTGTACCATAGTTATTTGAGGTGCTTGTTAAAATCACAGATTCCCAAGTCCAACTCTGGCATATTGAATTAGCATTTGGAGCAAGAAGAGAAACAGTAATCTACATTAACAGGTTTTCCAGGTGATGTTTATGATACATATAAGATTCACTGCTAGAGTCAGTGGATTCTATATCTAGAATTTAGTTCTACCTTCCTAACTATGGAGAGCAAGACCCTTTCCTCTTCTTCAAGGCAGGTCTTTCAACACTGGAAGAGGTCAGTTCTCTACCTCCCCTCATTAATACTCTTTTGCAATCCAGGTTATTTCACTCTTCCTCATACTACAAAGTTCCTTACCCTGCAGCAAGTTGAGCACACTCCTCCCAGTGTTTTCCTTCTTGCCAATGTCCCCCTTCCCCCACCAAATATGATGCCCAAATGAAAGAGAGCGAGCTAGATTTGTAATGCTTTCACTACATACTGACAATTTTCTGAAGTACAGTTGACCCTTGGATAATGTGGGGGTTAGGGGCACCAACCCCCTGTGTAGTCAAAAATCCACATATAACTTCTGACTCTCCAAAACTTAACTACTACAGCCTGCTCTTGACTGGAAGCCTTACTGATAACATAAAGTCGATTAACATGTATTTTGTATGCTATATACTGTATGCTTATAATACAGTAAGTTGTAGAAAATATTTTTAAAAATCATAAGAGAAAATAATTTACTGTATTTATAGTACTATACTGTATTGATCAGAAATATTTCACATATAAGTGGACCTACATGGTTCAAACCCATGTTGTACAAGAGTCAACCGTACATCAGTTTATACTCCTACCAGCTGCCAATGAGAATACCCATTTAGGCTTAAACTAACCAGCAGGTATTATCATTTTGTAAATCTTTGCTAATTTAATGGGCACATGACGTTGACTCCTCATAGTTGTTTTATTTTGGGTGCCTTTTAAAAATATTTTTCACATATATATATCTATTGGCCATTGGTAGTTCTTTTGTGAATTGTCTGCTTCTCTCTTCTCTGTTTTCTTTTCATTCTTAATTCATTGTGTCAGTTGCTACAGCAAGTAAATCCTTTCAATGCATTATCTCATATAATGCTCCAAACACTACCCCCACTCTATAGGTGAAGAAACTGAGCCTTCAGGAGCCTATAATGAGGAAACAGATCTTCTGCTTCCTCACTGATTCATTCCTTCTTTCAACAACCTTTTTTTGGAGGAGAGCTCTTCATCTTCCAGACATTTTGTAAAGTGAGTTAATAGAGCTGAGTATTGGAGATGAAATTTGGAGAAAGATTCAGAGCACCAGGAATATTCACAACTCTGTTGTCTCCTACTTATACTCACAATTTCCCTTATTCTTTGTTATTTTTCCTGGTGTAGAGATAATGGTGACCAAGTTATAATCAGTTGATGGATAGCGATGCTATTTAGGAGAATACATGTATCTGCATATATATTTGCCAAGAGAGGTAATATGTGGCTGACCCTAAAAGACTACCAGGAAAGGATCAAAGGGAGTAATTTGGGAATGACGCAGACCTCCATTACAGTAATAGCAGAAATCGTTCAAAAGCATAGACAAGTAAAATTGGCTTTCATTTTTTCCATTTTATATTACCTGATATCCCAAGACCAGTGTTTATGCAATTAACTGAGATCCTAATGTTAATTCATTATTTATAGCATTTCAGTCCAAACAGCTGAGCATCTCTTGGTTTTTGATTAATTTAATCAAATTTTATGCAATTATACTTTAATTCAAAATACATATGTATAAAGTTGAAATCCTGATATTTAAATCACTTGAATTTACAAGATTAAGGGAAATGCAAACACCCAAGTACAGATCTGAGTTAGAAGCAAAATTTAAAATAATTTCATTCTACTCTCTTTTTCTAAGAAGGTAGCCAGTGCCCAAAGGACAGGAGTTCTCAATATCACACAGTGATTGCTAACAGTGAGATTCAAATTGAGACCCTGTACAGGTGGGCCTTTCACTGATCTCTATTCCTAATTTCACTCAAACAAACCCTGGTCCTCTAAACTCTTACGAGGGGTTCCAAACAAAAACCTATAAACCAGTCGTCAGAACAGCTAATGCAATTTTTAAAGTTTTGTTCCTCCAGCTTTGCAATTCCAGCCAGACTGATAAAAGTCCTTGAGGGCTAGATTTTTCTAAAAGCTTTAGCAGAAACTCAATTTCTTCCTTATTAGTCATTGGTAGAAACATATTCATTTGTAATTCCAAAGCCCTGCATTTTGCCCCAAATCTTTCTTTCATGTAATAAACAAACATACTGAAAAAGAAAAAAATGTATTAGATGCCATTTACAAGGCCCATTTCCCCCAAATATAAAAGAAATCATTTTTTCTTTCTTCTTTACTATTCTAGGTTTCCCATTACTCTCTTTTCAAACCAGTAATTTTGAATTACACAAAAATGTTAACTTCACTTTGTCAACAATGAAATTTTAGTTCCTCACAACTTAATGCCTGGCAACCATGCTCTTTTCACAAAACATAAAGACAACCTTGACATTTAAACTGATGGTTCTAAACAAGGATACAAAGCAAATTTTAAAAAGCATGGGCTATTCCAATGTATCTGTTAATTGTCCAGTTTCTAGAATTTTATCCTCCACACTTGATCCGAATTGCAGGCATACCTCAGAGATATTGTGGGTTCAGTTCCAGACAAGTTCAATAAAATATCACAATAAAACGAGTCAAATGGATTTTTTTTGCTCCCCAATGCATAGCAAAGTTATTATTTACACTACTCTGTAGTCTATTAAGTGTGCAATGCCATTATGTCTAAAAAAAAGTACAGACCTTAATTAGAAAATACATCATCGCTACAAGAGCTAACCATTAAATCTCTGCTTTCTGCCAGTCATAATCACCGATCACAGACGACCATAACAAATAATAATGAAAGAGTTTGAAATACTGTGAGAATTGCCAAAATGCGGCACAAAGTCAGCAAATGCTGTTGGAAAAAATGGCGTCAAGGCAGGATTGCCACAAACCTTTAATTTATAAAACAAAACAAAACAAAACCAAAAAACCCAAAAACGCACGGTCTGCAAAGCCCAGTAAAGCGAAGCTCAACCAAAGGACCTATGCCTGTATTTGCTGGCCCGAACCCACCGCCACATAGGCGTTTCACCTTCCCCATTTTCATGCACCAGGAACACCCCCCCCCGCCATACACACTCCTCTCTCTACGAGTCACCCCCTCCCACCGATACGCTTCCTCCACACACAGACCTCTCCCCACGCAGACACCCCCTCCAGAAGCAAACACTCATGCACCTTCACCCTCTCCCCCACCCCCAACACACAAATAAAGCCAACCCAGGGAATCACCAGAAAATAGCACATTCTACCAAAGTTTAACCTGCAGAGCCAAGCCCTGAGGCCATTAAAACCAGAAGCCACGTTAACTGTCAACTGTCTCACAAGGGACAGGCTCTTTCAAACCTCTCCTTGGAGATTCCGGCACAGTGGCCCCTCAATGCTGCTGGAAGACTCAGCTTGGCGGCCTTCCCCGGGCAAGGTGAGAGCCCAGAGGTCCGAGGAGCACACTCACTGCAAATCTGACTTGGCAGTTCTCCTCTCCCAGGTAACACAGGTCTCCTGAGACGTTGGTCTCCAGCCACAGGTGCTCTCCGTTCACGGCATTCTCCTGGAAGGAAAAGACCCACCTGACTTCAGGTTTCTTTTCAGGCATAAAGGGGAAAGATCTCAAATTTAGATTTTTGGGTGCAAGAAAGTAAGTGCTCCCACAGAGTTTAAACCCTTCTCATTTCACCCCTGAAAATACGGCTGGTGTTGGGCCTCTCAAAATTCTAGAAACAGAACAGGTGTTTAGAAAAACTTTGTCTCAGTCATCACTAAAACAGACATGAGGCCTATAAAAGCTTTATCCACAGTTGCGGTAATCTGTGAAACATATTAAACAAATGAAAAAAAATCCCTCCCTCAAATTGTTCAATGTAAGGCCATATTTATCCAGGCCCAACACTGCAGATTCTGTGACAATCAAGAACAAAATGCTCTTAAAGGTTGCCTTTACTTAGCAAATTAGCTAAGAAGGATAGTAGTATTAACGTACTTTAGAGACTGTTTGAAGACATATTTATATCAGTAATGGGTAAGTTATATTCTAAGGCAGAGGCTTCTTAAAACTTACTCTAAGTCACTGTGTACTCAAAGCATAATAAATTGCTACTAATTCACACTTTTCCTACTTCAGTAGGGCTTTCACCCATATAACTCTCAATTTCTCAAATTGACTGATTTCCCTGCTTCTATAAATAGTCACAACTGATGGCAAACAGAGGTGCTGTGATGGGTGACATGAGTGCAACAACCTGATGTTTAGGAATGCATAATGTTTCGTTGGGGAGGGTGGGTGGGGGGAAGGCAATAATTCTTAAACAGGATCTGGCACACTACCTTAGAAACCCGAGGGATTTATGTAATTGTGTACTTTGCTCATTTGCTTGAAAACGACTCTGCGCTATTAAGGAAAGCACTGGACTGGACTGGGTTAACCACAAAGAGATGAAGTTTACTGAACTTAGAGGAAAATTGCTCTTGTTTTTACCTGGTTCGTCTGTGGGGCATATCACTTTTCCATGGGGGATGTTATAGACTGAACAAATTCGTATGTTGAAGCCCTACTCCTCAGTATTTGAGGATAAAGCCTTTGAGAGGTAATTAGGTCATGAGGGCAGAGCCTTCATGATTGGGATTAGTGTCCTAATAAGAAGAGACATGAGAGGGATCTTTCTCTCTCTCTCCATACACACACCAGGGAAAGGTCATGTGAAGATAGAGTGAGAAGGCAGCCATCTACAAGCCCGGAAGTGGGTTCTTACCAGGAACCACATCTACCAGTGCCTTGATCGTGGACTTCCCAGACTCTAGAACTGTGAGAAATAAATTCCTGTTGTTTAAGCCACCCAGTCTATGGTGTTTTGTTAAATGACTTCAATAAGGAGCTTTATAGAATAACCAAGTAATTTAGAAGTCCATCTCATGTGAGTCAACTTTATAATAACTGACTCCAGAAATGTCCGCATGACTGCCCTCTGAATCCCAAAGCTCAACATGAAGTAGCAGAAACATACACCAAAGAGAAGCTGAAAAAAATACAAAGCGTCGTCTATTTCATAAAATAAATGTATTTCTTCAGATTCCAGTACAATACCTTTCCTTTCAGAGCCTATCGGCACAAATGATGTTCAGACAAGAATAACTAAAGGTTATAGATACTTCACAATCTGAGAAAGGTGACACCAACTCTTAGAAGAGTGAGAGTGAGAGGCAGGAGAAATTTCATGAGTTCTGTAGATATTGAGGGATCAGGAACAATGCACAAGGAGGCTCTAAGGTGGGGGCGTGCCATGCATGTCTCAGAGTGCTTCAAAACTGTTCCAGAAAAGAAAGCAATGCTAATAAGAATCATCACCCTCCATGTCAGAGGGTGACTGACCATCTTTTTTTTTTTTTTAAAGATTTTATTTATTTATTTGACAGAGAGAGACACAGCGAGAGAGGGAACAGGCTTCCCGCAGAGCAGGGAGCCCGATGCGGG